TGGATTGAAAGCCCACCCTAAATCCTGGATGATTTCATCTTGAGATCCTTAACTTACATCTGCAAAGACCACATTGCCAAGTAAGGTCACATTGCCAGGTGCTTGGAGTTAAGACTCGCACGTATCTTTAGTGGGGCGTAATTCTACTCACCACAGTGAACAATCTACAAATAATTACATTCATCAATGTTAGGTTTTTGATTGTTTTTGTGTGAAAGCTGGTAATGCTAGGCAGGTGCTCTGCACTGCTCATCTCAGCCTTCAATGTTTCTTTTGAAGCCAGGCACCAGTGGTTCACTCATGTAATCCTAGCTACTTGGGAGGCTGAGATTGGAAGGATCAAGGTTCAAGGCCAGCCTGGGCAAATAATTCCTGAGACCCCAATATCCAAAATAACCAGAACAAAATGGACTGGAGATGTGGCTCAAGCCATAGAGCTCCTGCTTTGCAAGTGCAAAGCCCTTAATTCAAAAACTCCAGTCCCAACCACCCCCCCAAAAAGAGATTCATTTGATGAATCTAAACAAAAACTAGGAGCAGCATAATTGCCACCACAGTTGTGATAAATTGTCCCCAAATTTCTCTTGCCCCTTTGCAGTCAGCACCCCTCCAGCCTCCGCCAGCCACTGACAACTTCTGGATTCTCTTTCTGTCACTGTGAGTTTGTTTCTTCCAGAATGTCCTGTAAAAGGAAGTCATGGACAGGATGTGGTCTTTTGCGTATGCTTCTTTGATTTACTATAGCGTTTCTGAAATTCGTCCCTGTCATATGTGTCAGTGAAATCAATGGGCTTGAAAATTTTTAAACTAGAAGTTGTACAGTGCTTGCCTCCACTTGGACTCACAGTTGTGACATGGCGGCTGGGGTCAGGGTGATGGCTTGACCACAAGCACATGAGCGACACCCCCAGTCCTTTTGTTTTTAGTTTGTTTCTCAGATTGTATCTTGAGTTTTCCAGTTGTCTTGAGCCACCACACCCAGCACAATTGTAACCTTTGTTGTTGTTGTACTGGGGTTTGAACTCAGAGCTTTGCAGTTGCTAGGTAGGCAGGTGCTCTACCACTTCAGCCTTGCTACCTGTCCAAGGATCACATTTTAATCCAAAATAGTCCCCTTGCCTTCTCATGTGACTTTCAAGACATTCACATATTTCAAAGAATTCAGGCAGGTTTTTTTTTTTTTTTTTTTTGGCAGTACTGGGTGTTGAATTCAGAGCTTTGTGGTTACTAGGCAGGTGTTTTGCCACTGAAACCATGTCCCCAGCCCTTACTTTGTGCTTATTAATGGCGGTGTAGTTTCCACCTATTTTTTTTCTTTCTTTCTTTTTTTTTTTTTTTTTGCTTTTCTGGTGCTTGAACTCAGGGCCTTGTACTTGCTAGGGCAAGTGCTCTACCACTTGAACCACCACACCTCACTTTGTCCATGATATAAACAGTATTTAGTGAACATTTCTGTGGATGTGTAGGAGGGGTTCCACCCTGTCATACATCTCGGGGGCATTAGTGAGTGGAGGGCTCTGGGACCTCTTCCTGTGTAATAACCACTCCACAACTTAGAGGCTCGAGACAACTATTTGTTTTGCTTACTTTTTGCAAGGGATTGAACCTTCGTGAATGCAGGCAAGTGCTGTGCTACTGAGCTACACCCCAGCCCTTAGTTCTTTTCCTCTCACATTTGTGAGGGTTAGCAGGATTCTGCTGGGTGGTTCTTGCTGCTGGGATTTCATGGAGTTGCAGGCAGATGGTGCTGGGCTGGTCAACAGAAGGCTATCGCCAAACTGGTTTCCCCAGCACTGGTTTCCATTTGCACCTGTGATAAAGAATCTAACTCTAGTTTCTGATGTTTGGTTGCTGACAAATTTTCCCCCCTGGTGAGGTTGGAGTTTGAACTCAGGGCTTCACATTTGCAAAGCAGGTACTCTACCTCTTGGGTCACACCTCCAGCCTATTTTGGAGATGGGGGCCTCTTGAGCTATTTGCCTCGATCCTCCCCTCCGTCAGCCTTCTGAGTAGCTAGGATTACAGCCAACAGTGCTCAACTGTAAGGTCCTGAGTTCAAACCCCAGTACTGCCAAAAAAATTAAAAAGCCCTTGTCACGTTCTCAGGCAATGAGTAATCAAAGTCTCCCTGTTTCTCATTAGTCTCCAGTCACAACCAAATTTTGGATGGAGGGCTGGTCTTATCTTAGGACAACCACAAAACACTCCTCCAGCAGAGCAAGAATTTCATCCGGGCCACACTCAGGATCTCAGCTGGTGCAGTCTGTGATCAGAAGACTTCCAAATTCTTTGTATCCCACTGGGAAGAATCCATGGCAGGACATGTGGATATAAATGGAGCTTACTCAGTTAGGGAAGGGAAATACAAAGGGAAGCATGGTGAGGCCCAGATGGAAGCCGGAAGCCAAGAGCCGAGAACGCACCTGCCTTGCGGGTGCTTTTAAAACCTATGATAACCTATGGGAAGGGGAGAAGAAGGAGATTCCCAGCCAGTAATCAAGATTGGGGAGGGAGGGCATGGGTGGCTCCCAGCCAGATGAGGGTGTTTCCTGAGCCAAAGCATGGTCAATCTAAGAGGCAAAGTTTTTTTTTCTTTGAGTCCCTAATTTAGCCTGCCTCACTACTTGAGCCAGTCCCAGTCCCTCCCGACCCCCACTTTTTTTTTTTTTTTTTCCATACTGGAGTTTGAGCTCAGTAGGGCTTTGCACTTGCTAGGAAGGTGCTCTACCACTTGAGCCACACCTCCAGTCCCATCCTCAGACTTTTTACCTTTTGCTTGTCTGATGGCAAACATGGGATGTTATGTTTTATTCTGAACTATGCCCCTCAATTCTTTCTTTCTTTTGGCAGTATTGGGGTTATAACTCAGGGCCTAATGCTTGCTAGATAGCTCTTTGTTGTTTTGTTGTTGTTTTTCTTTCTCTTTTTCTTTGACGTATTGGGGTTGGAGCTACTCAAGGACTTGCTCTTGCTAGGCAGGTGCTCTACCACTCGAGCCACGCTCCAACCTCTCCCCTTACAATTCTGGGAGGTTGAACTCAGAGCTTTGTAATTACTAGGCTAGTGCTCTACCACTGAAGCCATGTCCCCAGCCCTTACTTGTGCTTATTAACACCGGTGTACTATTCCACCTAATGTTTTTTGGTTTTGGCAGTACTGGGGTTTGAACTCAGGGCCTCCACTGGTCAGGCATGCGCTTTGCCACTTGAACGTCTCCGTCAGCCCCCTCCCCCTCACAATTCTTACGTTGAAGCTCTAACCCCAGCACCTGAGAATGTAACTGTACAGAATGACAGGGCGATAAAGGGAGTTATCAAGTTAAAACAAGACCTTGGGGCACTGCATGACTGGTGTAGGAGGAAGAGACCCCAGGGGGTGCACGTGCACAGAGGGATGACCATATGAAGAGACAGCAAGAGGGTGGCCCTTTGCAAACCCAGGGGACAGGCCTCAGGACCAAACCAACCCTACTGGTCCCTTGAACTTGGACTTCAGTTTCCAAGACTGTGAGAAAATAAATTTCCGTGTAATCCGCCCGGTCTGTGGTATTTTATGCCGGCAGCCACAGCAGAGGCATACAGGACGTTCATGTTTTAGTTTGTATCTGCAGCTTGCGCATCCTGCTCGCTATTTATTTTGTCTAAAATGCAGCTGGGGCGGGCCGAGGCTGCCCCTCCCGGCTGCTCCAGGGACTGAGCCGTCTAATTCACACTCGGGTATCCGCCCCAGCCCAAGAAGCCTTCCTGGGTCCTCATTTCTCCGGATCCTCCTGCCACTCCTAGGCTCTCTTGCCCTTGGGCTCACCCGGCGCCAGAGTCAGCTCTTTCTGGTCCCCAGGTGGTCTCTTATCCAAGCCCTCCTCTGTCCCCCCGCGGCTGGCACCCGGCAGAGGCTCGAGCTTCTGCGTGGAGGTTTTGGATTTCAATGTCTAGGGCTCGGGGAGAGGCCAGCGGTCCCGGAGCCCATGCGTCTGTTGTTTAGAGCTGCCAGACCCCGGGTGCGCCGAGGCAGAGACGCGCGCAGCCACGTGGGCTGGGGGATGATCCCCACCGCCCGCAGCCGCGCCGCGCGCAGTTGGCCTGGGCCGGAACCCAGCGGGGATGGGAAGCTCGGTTCCCGGCCTCCTGCTGCCCGGAAATCCCCTCGACGCTCAGGCTGCCGGCAGCCTGGGGTCCCAGGGAAGCACGGCCGGGATGGGTGGGGGAGGGGAGACCCGGCCGCCCCTCCCCCGGCCGTGCGGTCCTGCGCAAGCAGAAGCGAGCCCGGTTCGGGAGAGTCCACTAGAGCCAGGACCTGGGAAGAGAAACTTGGGGATAGAGGCCGTGGGACCAGCAGCGCGAGGGCGCATCTGCGCGCCATCCGGGCGTCCGGCCGCACCGCTGGCTTTGAAGCACTGGGACCAGGGTCCCTGGGTCCCGGCGGGGGGCGGGGGCCACCGCCCGCCCCGCCCCTCCTTGCTGATCGTGGGGAGATTGGACCATTTCCCCAGCCGCGCCCTTTACCGCTTATCTTTACCGCTTATTGGGGTGCGTCTGGCGCTCCCCGCCCCACCCAGCCATCCACTCGCAGGTAGAAGAGGGGCCGCTCGCGCCGGGACAGGATCGCGACCCGGACCCGGAGAGGCTGTCGCAACGGACCGGTTTACCGGACCTCCGCCCCCTCCGGCGCCCTTTCAACCTTCCCGGGATCCACCCCCCCCCAGGTCCATCCCGGCGTCGCGTGTACCAGTCCCCTGTCGAGTTTCCCAGGACCCCGGACCCCTCCTATCCACGCCTCCTACCCTGCGCCGGGGCCCTCGATCCTCTCTGTGCCCCTGACCTCTTCCCCGGTCAGCCTCGGGAGTCCTCCTAACCCTGCCCAGGGTGGAGGGCGCCATGCGGCCACGGGCGCCTGGACTCCAGCTCCATCTGCCGCTCCTGGCGCTGCTGCTCCCGCTGCTGCCGCGGCCCGCGCGCGCCCCGAACCCCACGGCGCAGGACGTGAGCCTGGGCGTGGTGAGTTGGGGTCCGCGGGCTCCTTGGATCCACTCCTGGATCTGGAGGAGGGAGGGGGGCCGGATTCAAATGTCCAAAGAGTGACTGAGGATGGGGTTTGAAGACTTGGATTGTTGGACCAGTCAAGAGGTTTGGGTCCGGGATTTGGAGGTCTAGAAAGTAGCTGGGTTGGGGAGCCAGGGTCCCCAACAGCGGGTCCAGACTAAGACTGGCAAACCCAGAGCTAGAAGGTAGCGGGGGTGGGGTAAGCGGGCGGGCATCCGGGACTGGGTGCTCGGGACTCCGGATTTCTGGGTGGGCGGGGCTTCCAGGATGGAGGTGGGAAGGAAGAGCACGGTCCTACTCTCCCAGCTTCACTTGTCCCCTCCAATGGCCTAGGAGTGGCTGACCCGCTATGGCTACCTGCCGCCACCCCATCCTGCCCAGGCTCAGCTGCAGAGCCTTGCGAAGCTGCAGGACGCCGTCAAGGTCATGCAGAGGTTTGCTGGGCTGCCTGAGACAGGTGCCATGGGTAGGTGTCCCGTACCCCCACACCCGCTGTACTATCTTGCCTCTGCCTCTAGCTTGGCCATGGTCCAGCGGCCTCTAAACCTCAGCATTGCACGGAATGATGAGCTGTGAGGATACTGATCTCGGGTTCCAGCCTCGACCCTGGAGGTCCTCAGGCATTCATCTTTCATAACCTTCCCCAGGAAGCTCTTGCATGCCAGGTCATTTCAGGCTCCACCGTTAGAGCAGTGGACGGAGTAGATATGGTTCCTGCTCTCATGGAGCTAATATTCTGAAGGACAGAGAAACACAGGACAAAAACATAAATATGCAAGGTGATTTTGGGCAGAGGTGAGTGTTCTGAAGAAAAGGCAATGGTTGGGGATAGGTCAGGGCAGGTCACTCTGAAAGATGTCACAAGCATATGAGCTTTGACCACAAAGAGGAGGAGGCACAGGAAGATGTGTGAGAAAATGTCCCAACAAGTGCAAAGGCTGTGGTAGTCATACTTTGTGAGCCTGGAGTGAAAGGTGGGCTGAGGGGCTTGGGCAAGGTCCTGATAGATGACCCTGAAAATTGTTTGGGTTTGAGTCCAAGGATGATGAGAAAGCAGGGGAGAGTTTGAAGGAAGGAAGCAACTCCATCTGATTTGCAGGGCTTTTGTTTTGAGATGGGAGTCTTTCTCTGTTGCCTAGACTGGTCTTGTGATCCTTCTGCCTCAGCCTCCCTGAGTAGCTGGGATTATAGGCATGTACCATCGTGCCAGCTCTGATTTTCAGTTTTAAGCAGTTGCTGATGGAGAGTGGAGGGTGGGGAGCTGGAAGAAAACAGGAAGAAGGCAGTTGTAGCACTCACTCTAGCAAGAGAGGCTGGTGGCCTGGAGTAGGGGTGGGGATGTAGCCAGAAGCATTTGAATTCAGGATGTAAGTTTTGGACACAATGCTGAGGGTTTCTCTATGGAGTCTAATGGGGAAGAAGAGGGAGCTTAACAGATTCTGGCAAGCTACAAAGGAAGATTTTTATTTTCTTCTTCTTCCTGTGCTGTTCACTCTAGAAACAGCCTAGAGCAGTGCCTGGCATCTGGACGATTTTAGTTACTATTTGTCACCCAAAGCAATGTGGTTTGACCTTAATTTGAAGATGGAGTGACTGCTGAGAATGGGCTGAGCTAGAAAAGGGGATTCCAGTAGAAATAACCCAGGAAGGGGTGGCCTGCTACAGGGGAACCAAGGACCCCTACTGGCCTGGGGACTTTGGATTTGACCAGCACCCCATGGGGACTTGAGGGCAATGCATGAAGTAAGGCAGCCTCAGGGAAGGAGACTGCCTCTCAGAGGGTTCTGACCTCAAAGGGAGGGGCCTCACCCCATCCCTGAGCTCCTTTCTAGAGAATTCCCCTGCTGGGGCTCAGGCTTGACCCTCCAAGTGCCCCCAGGAGTAGCAAGTGCACCCAGAGCCAGATAGAGAGGGCACTGCTCACTAGGTCAGTGGTAATAGTCTAGCATGAACTGGTTTTCACAGCGACTGCCTGGGCTCAAATCCAGGCTGTGGGGCATTCTTGGGCAAGTTTCTTAACCTCTCTAAGTCTCATTTTCTCCAAGTAGAAAGTTAGCTGGTACCAGGCACGGTGGTGTACACCTGTAATCCCAGCACTCAGAAGGCAGAGGTGGGAGGCTCATGAGTCAGAGGCCAGCCTGGCCTATCTAAAAAGAAGAAAAAACGAACCCAAAGAAAGAAAGAACGAAACTCAGGTACTCAGGTGCCTTGATTAGATAGGCTGTGCTCTTGCTCACTGCCCCGCCTCCCCTCCCCCACTGTCTCCCACAGACCCCGTGACAATAGCCACCATGCACAAGCCCCGCTGCTCCCTGCCCGATGTGCTGGGGTCTGCAGGGCTGGTCAGGCGTCGTCGCCGCTATGCTCTGAGCGGCAGCATGTGGAAGAAGCGAACTCTGACCTGGAGGTAGGTCCCCGGGCCACCCTCCTTCCCCTGGACCAGCAGCCTTGCACGGCAGCCCTCTCCCCCCATGACCTCCTGCCCCCTTGTCTTTCCCCAGGGTCCAGTCGTTCCCCCAGAGCTCCCAGCTGAGCCAGCAGACGGTGCGGACACTCATGAGCTATGCCCTGGCCGTGTGGGTCGTGGAGTCAGGCCTCACATTCCAGGAGGTGGAGTCTTGGCACCAGGAACCTGACATCCTCATCGACTTTGCCCGGGCCTACCACCAGGACAGCTACCCCTTTGATGGGCAGGGTGGCACCCTGGCCCACGCCTTCTTCCCTGGGGAGCACCCCATCTCTGGGGACACCCACTTCGATGATGAGGAGACCTGGACCTTTGGGTCAAAAGGTAAAATCTCCCATCTTCAGAGGGACCCCCCTCTCCAGGTCTGTCTGTCCTGAAGAACCAGCTTTTAATCAATTGATTGATGAGGCTGCATCCCTTGGGGGTCACCAGAGAAACTGGGCCATTACGATGTGTATGTGGGGTGTGTGTGTGTGGGGGTGTGTGTGTGTGTAAAGAGGTTTATTTGGGGGCTGGGTGTGTAGTTTGGTGGTAGAGCACTTGCCTAGCACAAGGTCCTGGGTTCCATCCCTAGCACCCCCCCCCATGTGCACACACACACACACAAACACACACACACACACAAATGGGAATTTTTGGGGTTAGTTAGCAAGGCTAAAATGTGTAGAGCAGGAGGAAAACTCAGGCAGGATTTCTATTACAGTCTTGAGGTAGAATTCCTTCCCTTCACAACCTGTTTTTGATCTTATGGCTTCAGCTAATTGGACACCTCTCATCCACATTCATGTGACTCTGTAGTTAAATCTCCAAAATACGTCCACAGCAAAACTGGCACATAAAAGCAACCACCACAGAGGCCCATTGAGTGCTGAGCTCTGAGCTGGCCCTACAGAGGCCAAACCATGTCTCTATCTAGCAACTTAGGTGGAACAATGACTGGCAGTTACTATCTACACAGTGACACAACTGCCCACACACAGCAGAGGAAGTCCTCAAGCCTGGAGGGGTTGACCCAAAGCACTTGAGCCAGGGAGGCTCCCTGGAAGGGGTGACTCAATTCATTCAATATATTCACATGTGCCAATGTGGTGGTACACACCTATAATTCCAGCACTTGAGAGGCTGAGGTGAGAGGATGGTGACTTCTAGCCTGCCTGGGCTACATAACAAGACCCTGTTTCAAAACACACACACACACACACACACACACACACACACACACACACTGGACAAAGTCCCATCCTCCCAGAATGCATGCCTTACGGAATGCACATTGACAAAACACTAGCCCGTGAGCTAGCTAGCTGAGGGCCACACAGGGTGGGAAGACCCATCAAGGAGAAACTGGGGCTGGGACATCTGAGACTGGAAGGCAAAACTATGGCATTGGGGGACATTGCAGAGGATAGCAGGTCCTATATTACAGAGACTTGGAAAGCAGGTGGAAGAATTCAGACAACAGGGTTCTGAAGTCTCTCATTTATTCTAGAAATATCCCTGGTGGCAGGGGGTAGTGGGGAGGTGGGTAGAGGCAGGGAGACGGGAGGCTACCACAGGGTCCAGGCAAGAGATGGTGACTTCTGAGGGAAGTCAGTTAGAATGGGCACAGATTGGGATCTGGGGACAAGGGAGAAGAGGAGGATAGGATGACATCCAGGGTCCAGCTCAGGGTCCTGGAGGATGGCTGCTGTTAGTGCACGTGGGGGCAGGAGGAATGAACAGAGATGGAGAAAGAGCAGCAGGACCCAGACGTTCCGTGCACGGAGCACTGAGCATCTTGCTCTAGAGCTTGGACTCCTCCGTCTTGGGTCAGGTTCCACAGAAGTGGAGCTCCAGATGGAAATTCCTGTGCAAGCAGTTTCTCAGGAGCATGCACTCCGGGGAAGGAGAAGCAGGAGAGGGTGAGAAGCTGAGCAAGGATGTGGTTTCAACTGGAGAGGAGCCTGGTCCCACAGAGATCAACCCCGGAGCAGCCTGGGGCCGGGCCAGCTCTTCCCAGGCCTGTATCATTGGCTGTAGGCTATGTGGCAGGGGGCAGCGGGGCTGGAGCCCACGCCCTGTCAGGAGTCCTCAGCCAGTCACAGACTGCATCCAGACCTCGAGTCCTGCAGCATTAAGGAGGCAGGCTGCTGTTGTTTTTGTTTGTTTGTTTGTTTTGTGGTACGGTGAATGGACCCCAGGTTTTCTTGCGAGCTAGGCAAGGCCTCTACTACTAAGCTACACTCCCAGCTGAAGCAGGTAGGTTTGAAGCTGTAACCTGTAACCTGTACTAGTTACTTAGCCTCCTGGCCCTCAGTTTCCTCGACTGAAAACAGTGCCTGCTGAGCCAGGTGCTGTGGCTCTCATCTCTAGTCCTAGCTCCTTGGGAGGGTGAAACTGAGAGGATTGAGATTCAGGGCCAGCCAGGAGAACAGTCTGAGAGAACACCATCTCCAAAGCAATCCAAGCAAAATGGACTGGAGGTGTGACTCAAGTGGTAAAGCACCTGCTTTGCAAGGGAGGAGCCCTGAGTTCAAACCTTGGTCCTACCTCCCCCCCCCCAAAAAAAAGGAAGGAAGAAAAAAAACAGTACCTGCTGACAGTGTGGTTTGCAGGCTTTAGTGCAGTGTGGGGCTGCCAGAACTAGGCCTGGGGGCAGATTTGAAATTCAGTCACAGGGAGGGAAGTATAGACTACAAACATCTGGTATAGAGCCATAGAGAGCCCCGAAGCTCACTGCTGGAAAGGAGGAATTAATGGATATGGAGAAAGAACTAAAGCGAAGTGTCTGTAATCCTAGCTACTCAGGAGGCAGAGATCAGGAGGATCTCAGTTCAAAGCCAGACTAGGCAAATAGTTCCAGAGACCCTATCTTGAAAAAAACCCATTACAAAAAGGGCTGGTGGAATGGCTCAAAGAGTAGGCCCTGAGTTCAAACCCCAGTACTGCACAAAGAAAAAAAAAAAAAAAAAAAAAGAACAAAAGTGAAGGAGGAAGTGGTCAGTGCAGCAAACAAGTCCAGTAAGTTACAGAGCCTGAATTTGGTCATCTGGGAACAAATGACTTTTCTATGCCTACAGGCTCTATGGGTGGAGGAAGAATCCCAAACTGCAGTGGGGTTAGGCAGGAGAGGAGGGGAGGAAGTGAAGAATGGGTGGTTTAGATCACCAACTGAGGAACTTGGCACTGGGGGAGGAAGGGCAGAGAGCAGTGTGGCTGGGAAGCCCAGGTACCAGCCAGGTTTGGAGAGTGTCTAGGGAGGGAGTCATGAATATCAGGTGGGGTGAAAGAAAGGGTGGGGTATGGATGCATAGATTCATGGACCAACAGATGGGTGGGACATTGTCCTTGTCTTAGAGTCACTGAGTGAGGCAGGGTCCTCACACAGGACAGGACAAGAGGAAAGAGATGCGCACGGCAGCTGGGCACTGGTGGCTCACACCTGCAATCCTAGCTACTCAGGGGGCAGAGATCAGGAGGATTGAGATTGGAAGCCAGTCCAGGGAAACAGTTCTTGAAAATACCCAACACAGAAAAGGACTGATGGAGTGGCTCAAGTGGTAGAGCATCTGCCCAGTTAAAAAAAAAAAAAAAGAGGTGGGCATGGGTGCACCAGAAGTTACAGGTTCTAGTGCACTGCCTGTCTTGCTATCTTGATGAAATAGGTGACACACTTGTCAGCATTTGTCACTTGAAGGTGCAGAATGGGGCTGAATCATAGCTTTGAGGGGCTGTGGACCTGGAACAGAGCCAAGTTGCTGCCTGCAGGGGTCAGAGGGCATGGCTGAGAGGAGGAGCCAGGGCACCTGCACACTGCCACAGGACTCTATGGGGCTGGGCCTGCAGCTCATGTAATCTCCCCCAGCTACATAGCGTGAGAAGGGTTCAGGAAGGGATGCCTGGCCCGGAAGTCTTGTGTGAGGCGAGGCAAGGAAAGAAAGTGAGAGAAAAAGGAGATCTACGTGATTGAGACACCAAACTTCCTCTGACTTCTCAGAAAAGGATTTAGAGCAATAAATAGACCCACCACCAACACGGAAATTCTTCATTCATGTGCAGTTTGAGCAGGCATGTCTGAAGGCAGGACGCACTCAGCGTCCATCCATCCTAGCTCTGCCTTGGACTCTGACTTCTCTCTCCGTACAGAGAATACAAGGAGTGGTAGAGCGCCTGGACAATGAGAATAGGAGATAGAGGTCTGAGAAGTAAATGAGTCCAAGTGTTAGCTATTCCTCTTAGGATCTGCCCAGTTATTTCACTCTTAGACTCGGCCAGCAGCCCCTGGGCTTGGTACTTGGGTTGGAACTGAGGCCTCCTGCTTGCTAGCACTTCACCATTTGAGCTAGGCCCTAGCCTGGAAAGTCGCTTCTCAATTCCCCATGTCATTTCCAGTCATCCCGCTGTCAACACCCCTAACTCTGCTTAGAGATTTCCATGAAATAGATCAAAATCTGCAGAAGTCTGTGACTCACTGACAAGTTGCCCAGTTCTGTCACTGTCTTAGACTCTTCTGGGTGGGGCCTCTCACTGGCTGGAGCCAGACCTCAATCGATGAGGACCAATCAGGAAGAGGCCCTGTCCTGCCCAGGCTGGATCCCCGAGGGAAACCTGCAGTGTGGGAAGAGGCTGTGAGTGAGGCTGGGCGCTGAGGCAGCAGTCTGTGGTCTGAGAGTGCCTATTGAGGGGACCTCTGTGTTCCAGAGGAAATGGAGGAAGGCCAGTGCGGGGAGGGGCAAGGACCCTAGAGAGGAGGAGGTTGTGGGCAGAGGAGATGAGGGAGGGAGCTGGAGGATCTGGGAATGTGGGCCTAAGGAGAGGAGGGGAGAAGGGAGTAGGAGAGACCCAGGGGGAGGGGCTAGAGAGAGGTTTGGGTGGGGGACTTGAGCTGAAAGGAGGGGATGCGCCAAGGGCTGGGGCTCCCTAGAGAGACACATGCACTTAGGATTCCTGTACCCCCAAGTTTCTATGTGCGTAGTCTTCCCTTCCTGGCGGAAGGCTATATGGCAGTACTGGGGCTTGAACTGAGGGCCTCACGCTTGCTAGGCAGGCGCTCTGCCACTCAAGCCATTCTGCCAGCCTTCTTTTGTCTTTCCTATGGGTCCCTTCAGCACTGTATTCCAGTGTCAACACTGCCAAACAGGGCTACTCAAAAATACCTGCCGAATGGGACAGCTGTGGTGCACATCTATAATCCCAGCTACTAGGGAGGCAGAAGCAAGAGGCTCCAGAGTTCCAAGGCAAAGTTAGCAAAGTACCGTCTTAGAAGAAAAGCAGAACAAAGGGGCTGGGGGTGTGATAGGGATAACGTCAGGGCTCAAGGAAGGGCCAGGCAGAGGAGACTGGGGTCCGCTTCCGAGCATTTCCTGGCTCTTCCCTCCCCAGGCTTTCTTTCCTGGTGTGGGGTGCCCTCAGCATGAGTCCACTGTCCCCCTTCCCCAGATGGTGAGGGAATCGACCTGTTTGCGGTGGCCGTTCATGAGTTCGGCCATGCCCTGGGCTTGGGCCACTCCTCGGCACCCAACTCCATCATGAGGCCCTTCTACCAGGGCCCAGTGGGCGATCCTGGAAAGTACCGCCTGTCCCAGGATGATCGTGATGGTCTGCTGCAGCTCTATGGTATGGCGAGTGGGGGGACCTGCCCTGTATCGGCCCTGCTTGTGGCTTCCCTGTGGCCTCTGCAGCAGGGCCACAGAACCCACATTTGCATAACTCTCCCCACAGGGAAAGCAACCCACCCTCCATATGACAGGCCTACCAGGAAACCCCTGACTCCTCTTCCCCGGCCCCCAGTCCTGCCCCCCGACAGGTAAGTCTCCCACCAGCGGTGTGACCTTGGGTGACCAGCTCTTTCGACTCAGTAAGATGGGGATGGTAAGAGTTCTGCTTTGCAGTACTCCATAGGTCAAGGGTAAAGAATGGAGAAACCCCTCACCCTTGACTCACTCACCTTTCCGCCCCAGCACCTCCACACCTGTCCCTGATCGATGTGAAGGAAATTTTGATGCCATTGCAAACATCCGTGGGGAAATCTTCTTCTTCAAAGGTCAGTCACTTTGGGTGTCCCCTGGTCTGCATACCTGGCTTCCCACCCCCTTCGGGTGATCCAACCAGGCAGCGACATTTCTTGGGCAATGGGACTTTCAGGGCTAAAAAAAGGGGAAGTCCTGGGCAAGCCAGGAGATGTCCTGTTGGTCACTCTAGGTCCACCACCCCCTTGATTTTTTTTTCTTTTCGCTTTTTCTTTTGTTTCTTGTACTGGGGATTGAACCCAGGGCTCTACCATTTGAGCTAGCTCCTAGCCCCACACTTCTGATTTCCAGGTGGACCTAGGCACACACACCTTGTGGGAGGGGAAGACTCAAGCACACACAGGGTAGGAGGGGTGGACGGACAAGCCTCCCCTGCCATGTCATGCCCTCCTGCCCTCCTCTTCGTGCCCTGCAGGTCCCTGGTTCTGGCGCTTGCAGCCCTCAGGTCAGCTGGTGTCACCCCGTCCAGCCCGGCTGCACCGCTTCTGGGAGGGGCTGCCTACCCACGTGAAGGTCATCCAGGCCGCCTACGCCCGGCGCCGAGATGGCAGAATCCTCCTGTTCAGCGGTGAGTGGGGGTCCGGGGCGGCGGGGGCCAGGGTGGGCATGGGGAGCCGGCCTGGTTATCGATCCTGCTCCCTCCAGGTTCGGAGTTCTGGGTGTTCCAGGACCGGCAGCTAGAGGGCGCAGCGCGGCCGCTGGCGGAGTTTGGGCTGCCCGCCGGTGAGGAGGTGGACGCGGTGTTCTCCTGGCCGTTCAATGGCAAGACCTACTTGATCCGGGACCAGCAGTACTGGCGGTACGACGAGGAGGCTGCGCGCCCGGATCCCGGCTACCCAAACGACCTAAGCCTCTGGGAGGGGGCGCCCCCCGCCCCCGACGATGTCACCATCAGCAACACAGGTGGGGGAGCACAGGGGAAGAAGCTGGGGGCTGCTGGCACCTGAAGGGGGAAGAATGGCAGGTGTGACTTCCATCTGTCCTGGGGTAGTTGGGGTGAAGAGGGAGGGACAGGCCTCGACCAAGCTCTTAAAGAGTCTCCTCCCCCACAGGTGACACCTACTTTTTCAAGGGCCTCCATTTCTGGCGCTTTGCTAAGGGCAGCGTCAAGGCTGAGCCGGACTCGCCCCAGCCCATGGGGCCCAAGTGGCTGGACTGCCCCGCCCCCAATCCCCCCAAAGAGACCCCCAAGCCCGGAAACTGCGATTGTCAGTGCGAGATCAATCAGGCGGCGGGGTCGCAGCCCACGACCTTCCTGCTGCCCCTCCTGGCCCTGCTGGCTGGGGGCGTCGCCTCCTGCTAAGGCGTGGACATCCTGAGCGGAAGATGTCACGGAAGGGGGCCAGAATCTCCCACCGCTGGACGAGGTGTGGGATTGTGAGGCGCTGCCGAGCCCCCTTCGTCTGTTCTCGCCGCGGAAGTCCCTTGGGCACGGAGCTGGACTGATTCCTCGCAGAGGGACTGTGGCATCCTGGCTCGGTGGACACCTGCAGGGCGGATCCTGCCGCCAGGGGGCACCCGAGGGCTATGGCCACTGTCAGCGCCTGCGCATAACGCTTGGCCCGGGCGGCCACCAGGGGGCGGTGCGGACCAAGGGCTGGAAGACCAGGGAACAGTTGTGGGCGAGTGGCTGACCTAAGCGGGTGCATTAGTCGCAGGAGTGCTCTGTCCACCCTCTTGCCAGATCACAGTCCTATCCCCAGTCGTGTGCTACTCCAGCATGACCACCCACCTTTTCTCAGAAGAGCCTGGGCTTTTCTGAACACAGTCCATGGGCTCTTCCAGCCCTCATCCCGCTAGCAATAGTGGTTGGCGTCTGATTGGGTCATTAGAGGACTGGCCAGGTCAGGACATTGAACCAAGCCCCTCCCACCACTGCTTTGAGCGTCCTCGAGCCTTCTCACGCTGTTCTGCTCCTATGGTGACCCATTGCAGTCCCTGGCACGTGGTGTTCAGGGGGACTAAGCCTGGACACCTCCCCTGAAGGAGGTGTCCTGCTTTAAGTCCTGGTCATTAGTAGTAGTCCCCTGAAGAGATGACCCTTCCCAGGTCGGGCCCTGTTGACCTTGTTTCCAGTCACCCTCCCTCCAGGCCACACAGCTTGGTCACCATCCTGAGTCTAGAACTGCCCCTATTCTGTTGCACACTACCCTATGTTGAGCACCATCTCTCTGCTGCCACTGGAGTGAAGGCAGCTTCCTTCTAGAACAGATTGGCTCCCATGGGCCCAGGGCTACTGGGAAGACATGGGCAGAATCTTCTCAGTTGGGTGATTGTTGCCACTTCAGCACTCGTGGAGGGAGTTCTGAGTTCTAAGATTAAGGAGTGACTAAACCTGAAGCGCTCCTTCACCCCAGTTTCCCCACAGATTGCTTCTGGAACTGTGCTTCTGGAATATCCATATCAGAATCACTCAGTGGGAATTTAAAAATACAAACCCCGTTCCCTTACCCTAAATCCCCACTCAGAGGGTCAGGAATTGCATTATCAGATGTGGGGCCATTATGCCCTGATGGGCCAGGGGGCTGGCTGTCTCGTGGCATTGCTGTGGCTCTGCTGTGCCCTCTCTCCTAGGGACCCATCTTTTCTTATGTTCTTACAGGCTGTGGCCTTAGTTGAGAGGTATCCACTCACCATGGGTGGAGTCACTTGGTGGGCCACTTTGCAGTTGCCATATAACCTCAGTGGTACCACAGTGTGTCCAGGAGCCTAGGCTGTGAGCACCACTTCCAGCAGCCAGGGGAAGTTGCCGCCAGCTGTTCTTGGTACCCAGATCAGCAGGAAGACAAGATCCAAGTGTCATTGACCAGTCCGTTGATCTGACAGTTCTAATTTACTAGGGAGCCATCTGGGCCTCTGTTGGTTCTCTCCAAGTAACAGAAGGAAGCTAAACCCCAACCAGGAGGAGAATAAAATGATTAGAGGAAGCGTTTCCTTTCTCCTGAACATTGATGGACCTGGGGTGAGGTTTGGTGGCAGGAACTGGACAGACCTAACTCATTGCTTTGCAGGAGAAGCTGGGATCCAGGGTTGATGGAGATGGGACTCTGAAGTAGGAACAGGGGGAGGGGAAAGCAGAGAGAGAACTAAAAGTTGATTGAGGAGACAGCCAGAAGAAAGATGACCCTTGTGAATTGGTATTTTAGAAGGTACATGTAAACTCCTCTAGCTATTAGTCTTTTATTGAACCTACACAAAAAGGTCAGATGATAATAAGAATGGTTGCCAGACACCAGTGAATCAGGTCTGTAATCCTAGCTACTCAGGAGGATTGAGATTCAAAGACCGCCTGAGCAAATAGTTGGAGAGACCCTATCTTGAAAATACCCAACACAAAACAGAGCTGTTGGAGTGGCTTAAGTGATGGAGCGCCAGCCTAGGAAGCATGAAGCCCTGAGTTCAAACCTCAGTGCCACAGAAAAAAAGAAATATGCATACGAATGCTCATAGCTAAATTATTATAAGAGGAAACAACCCACACATCCTTCAATGGACAACCGGGTTTAAAAACAAGGGTCAATCTGTAGGGTGGGATGATAGTCTACTATAAAAAGGAATGTAACACTATCATACAATAAGGATGGACTTTAAGCACTGACTTGGTGAAAGAAGCAAGACACAAAAGGCCATGTATTGTATGATTCCACTCATATGAAATGTCCAGAACAGGCAAGTCCACAGAGACAGAAAGTAGGTAATGGGTTAACTGGAGATTTTGGGGGATAGGGAGATGGGGCTTGTGGAGTGATGGCTCAAGGGCAGATTTTCTCCTCTCTTCACTCTCCTCTCCATCTCATGCAGATCAGGCTGGCCTTGAACTTGCAATCCTCCTGTCTTATTAGTGCAGGCTATACATACTTGGGGGTGTGGTTGAAGTAGGAGGATCATGAGATCAAGGTCAGCCTGAGCTACATAGTGAGACCCTATCTCAAACCCAAAGAAAAAGAAGATGGCTCATGCCTGTAATCCTAGCTACTCAGGAGGCAGAGATCAGGAGGATCACTGTTCCAAGCCAAACCCAGGCAAATATTTTGAGAGACCCTATCTCAAAAACCCATCACAAAAAGGATGGCTGATTGGCTCAAGGTGTAAGTTGTGAGTTCAAACCCCAACCAAAAAAAAAAAAAAAAAAGGAAGGAAGGAGAGCAAAAGGAGGAGAGAAAGAAAAGAGATGAAATACACAGCATGTCCCCTGTGCCAGATGAGCAACGACAGGGCAGGGCCCCTCAGGCTGAGGTCTGCTCTGCTGCAGGGCTGGGTGTTCACTGGACACCCATTATGTTTCAGGCACTGTGAGAACAGTGCCAGGCTGAAGTCCTGCAGTCACTCCACAAACACAGGATTACAGTGACCAGTGACACCATGAATATCTATTAGAGGTGATGTGGTTCATTGTTGCTCATCTAAAGATACAAGCCCAGAATAGGTCATCTGACCCAAAGGTCTGCCTATGTCCACTGATCCCCTGCCTCAGTACCCCCCAGGTCCCACCGTGTAACTGAATGTCATAGAACACTTAAATTGGGAAGTTGATTCCTTTAAAGAAGCTTTTATTAAAGACAACAGAGCAAAAGCAATGAGCCAACCTTGCAGAGGGAAAGCAGAGTGGGAGGGAGGGCATGGACGAGGGGGCCCAGGAAGGAGCTGAGGGACAGAGATGAGGCAGAGTAAAGCAAGCACAGAGCCTGAGCAGGAGGACAGAGGTCACTTTAGGACATTCATTGTAAGAGGTGACGATTCCAGGGTTCTTAGGTGTCTTGATTGTGGTCTGGATCTAGATAGTCTCACTGGAACCATTGGAAGAACTCTGCCAGACAATTCAGGAAAGTCTTGAATGTGTTACAAATGGCCTCCAGTGCTCTGCCCAGGGTCTGTTTCACCCAGGCCAGCACCTCCAGCCACTTCTTCTTCACCCAATGAAGCATCTCCTGGAAACATTTCAGCATCTTGTCCCAAAAATTAGCCTGGTGTAAAAAGAATCACAGGTGTTCAATCAGACATTTTTTTTTTTTGGCACTAGGTTTTGAACTCAGGACTTCATGCTTGCTAGGCAGGTGCTTGAGCCACAGACATGTTTTGTTTGGGGTTTTTTCGAGATAGGGTCTCAAGAACTATTTGCCTGGGCTGGCTTCGAAACTCCTTCCTCCTGATCTCTGCCTCCTGAGTAGCTAGGATTACAGCTGTGTGCCAATGGTGCCAGGCCCCTCACCTTACTCTTGAGCTCAAGCACCTGCCTGTTCTGGGTCCCCACACTTGTCCATTAACTGTGTCCTGCCCAACCCTGGCATCCCTGCTGTTTCTCAGTGTGCTATAGGATGGGGACCCTCCCCAGTTTCCCTCAGCCTTCAGACCTCACCTGGAAGATTATTTGCCACAAATTGTGAACTGAGAAGTTGGTGGACTGCAGGGATCTGTGTGGTGTGAGGCACGAGCAAGCATGAGGGAGCCCCCGACCCACACCCAATTGTGCAGAGGCTGAGGGTGGGGACATGTGTCATGGAGGCTGATGGTAAATTGACTCACATCTCCATTTTCTGAGAACAAATCTGTGATATCATCAAGGAATGTCTGGAATTCCAGTTTCTGAAAGAGATGCAGAATTGGGTTAACAGGCCTGATCCTTCTCCCTCCTGAGTACCTGGCCAGAACCTCCTCAGCATCACACAGTGAGGACCAGGACCCCCTCCCACCACATCAAGTGCACATGGGGAACTAACTGCCTCACCATTTTGGATTTAACAGTCTCCAAGGAGGCATTTTTCATCTGTGGAAAGAACAGGGACACTCAGGCCTTATGTGACCTTCTCCCTCCACCCCAGACAAGCCACATACACGCTCTGTCACGCACACACCCAGTCACAGGCACACGGCACCCAGGCACATGAAGGATGAAGATGGCCCTGGAAGGTGCCAGGCCCACATTGTTCCAGCACCCTCTGTGGCCCCAGGTGAGAGCTGTGGAGGGAGGAATTTGTGCTGGGCAGGGGGGGATGGGGAATATCCAGTCACACCAGCGTCCCTGGAACCATCTCAGCACCTTATGTCCACCATTCTGGGACGTCAGGCTCTCAAGATCCTCATCTTCAGAGAAGGAGCCAGAGCCACCCTGGATTCTTTGACGTAACTCCAGCTTCACCCGAGGAGGGAGAGAAGTGGAGTCCTGGAAGCATGGAGGCTGTCAGGGTCTGGACGGCTCACGGTGTGCAGCTCAGGCACTGCCCCCACCAAGGCTTCCAAGCCTCTACGTGAATCATCGGACAGGAGCCCACAGCTGGCTTCCTGTCAACAGAGCTGCACAGGCACAAGGGACTTTCCCCAGCTGCCCCAGCCCTCAAAACCCTTCCATGGCCTAGACACAATGGGTGTCAGTGCTTGGTCACTGTCAGTCTGAGCCCACCGCAGCCCCTCTGGGTTCCATCATGTACTACATTAGTGAAAGGCTCTGGCACTGTGTGCAGTGGGGGGCTCAGGGATGGTAATGAGGCAGCCACCCCTGAGAACTCCACCTTAGCTTTGAGGGGCTGTGTGCAAACAGGCCTGCCCATGAACCTGGAGAAAGCAAGGAAGGAGGGCTTGGCCGGGAGCCGCCTCAAACTCACTGGGCTGTTGCTCTCATGAAGAAGATCGAGGGCATCCAGCAGGTTCTCATTAATACTGTCCTGGGGAGAGAAGGGAGCCTAGCTACAGACACACTCCCTTTGCCTGGTCCCACGGTGGCTGCAATGGTCCAGGGCAGTACCAGAGAGCCACGAGCCCAGCCCACATAACCTGGCAAGCCTCAGTCCTGAGGTTAAGCTCTGGGGAGGAACAAGGACAAAGCTTACCTTAAGTTGTGATACACGTGACACGACCTGTTAGGGAAAAATCACATCAAGCTGGGGCCTCGTTCACTTTGAACATTGTCTTCAGTCCTCTGTCTGTTCTCAGCTCCCGCACTTACCCCTAACTTACTTACTCTATCCAGGACCTGGGGATCAGATGCCTGGGATCTCCTCTCTGTCCTCAAGATGATGGGGATACAGACACCCCCCTTAGTCTCCTGGGACTCTCTGACCCTACCAGAATAATCGCCTGCCACATGAGTAAACCGAGAAGTTTGTGGTCTGTGGGGATCTGTGCAGCGTGAGGCACGAGCAAGCACAAGGGAGCCCCCAACCCACACCCAACTGTTCCGAGGCTGGGGGTGCCTGTGCCCTGGAGCCTGACGGCGCATTGATCCATCCATCCATTTCTGGCATGTTGACCTAGGATATCAGCTTCTGCCTAAAGACTGGAACTGTGAAGAGATGCACTGCTGTGTCCCCAGGCCTGATTCTTCTCCCTCTTGGGTCCCAAATGAGAACCCAGAACCCCCTTCCTCCACCCCAAGTACACATGGGGAATGGCCTTTCCAATTGGATTTCAGAGTCTCCAGGGGATCACTTTCTGTCTTGGGGACATCTGATCTGGATTGTCCTGATGGCAAATTGACCTGCAGGTCCATCCTTTTCCCTTAACTACATTACTTGTTAGGCAGCGCCCCTGACTGCCTTTTCTCATACTCACACAGAGAAGCCCCCCACAATATACTTCCTAGGGCAGAGTCTGTCCCTACAACCAGGACCTGCTATGTAAGTTGAAGGACTAGGAGAAAAAGAAGCTGTGGCCTCTGTTCAGTAATCACTCAGAATGCCAGGACGCTCCTCTCCCAAGGCTAGTCCCATGTCATTGCTTTCACCTAGCAAGCTGGCCATCCTGAGCTGGGACTGTGACTGCACAGGTCCCTTGCTTGGGAAGCCCATTTCTCCCCGTTCCCTAGGATCTCCCTCCTAGACCAGGGAGAATCAGACAGAGTCAGCTGGACACAGTGTGGCACATGCCCTCCCAGGCCATCGCCATCACCTACTCTCACTCACCTTGGAGTAGCACATGGCAGCTCAGAGTTCCAGGGCCTGGAGCCTGGTGGGAAGGGACAGGTGAGAGGAAAAGTATCTCAGAAGCATCCCCGACACCACCCCAGAGAGTCCTTGGCCTCAGGAATGGAGTCCCCACCTTCTCCCTGGGATGACCCACCACCCAGCCCAGTCTTATCTTCAGGGGTCTGACCTGCGCTGAAACTGTCACCTTCCCTCTGCTCAAAGACCAGCTGGTGTCTGCCCTGGAGTGAGGCCCTGGATGCTCTAAAATCAGAGGAGGGGGGAGGCTGGAGGGCGGAGCAAGAGCCGGAGGCAGGGCAACGGCCTAAAGAGGAAACAGAAAAGAAAAAGGAAATGGTTGTGGACAAAGTGTGAGGGAGGTTTGAGGTGCTACCCGGGGTGAGGATGTTTTTTGGCCCTCTTACCAA